ACGCTCTTTGCCCTTAAAGGCTCTTTCTGCTCTGCCACCACTGTTCAAGACATAGAACCTTGTATGCAAACTCGCTAGGAGGTCTGGCCTTAAAATGTATGAATCTAGATGAGATGGGTCTCCTCGCTGTGTGTGGTGCCTGGTGTAATATGGTAACAAAGGCCAGATTACCCATTTCAAGGACCCTTGAAGAGACATTGGACAACCTTCCAGCAGTGGTCAAATCCTGGCCCTCTTGAAGTCCATGGTAAACTCCCACTGACTTCAACTGGACCAGGCTTTCACCCTAGGGATTTAGTGGGACGGGATAACAGTCTCCAGTTTTTGGAGAAGAGGGCTATGAAGTTAAAAAGAACTTAGCTAAAAGACCCCTATCTCCCAGGTCTCTAGAAAGCCCGAGTAGGACTCAAAATGGCTCCCAAAAGTGAATAGCGGCTCACAGCACATGTATTTATCCTCACTTGTAAAACTGCCACTACACTACTGGGGAAAATGTTCCACTGCTGGGAGTAGGGTGGGATGTTGGTGGGGAAAGGGAACATTCAAAGCCCTTTTCCAGTTCTCCCAGGTATTAACTTCCTGTTGTGCCAGGTGGACATCTCCCCAACTACACTTCAAATCACGTCCATCATTGAGAGAGAACTGCTGCCTCTAGAAAAGCCAAACCAGCAAAGCGTGGACAATTAGTGTTAATTACCTAAAGCAGATTAGATTTACCAGTTGATATATCACACTGAAAATGAAACAAGAAGCCTCAGACTAAAGAAGATTTCTTTTTATTAATTTGTTGGAAGCAGATTATTCAGCTTTGAAGCTTTTCAAAAGCCATAGGTTGTGGAGATGCAGGCCTGGCAGGTCTCTCCATGCGCACTCGTGTTTTCCTGGAGGCAGTGCTTCCTCCATAATTAGTTGTGTTAATTACCCGGAGAAGATTAGACATACTTGCCAAAATAATATATTGCTTATAAAATAGGAAGATGTTTTCTCATTACTAACTAGTTCTTATAGTATGAATGGATGCAATTCTCCCTGGGCAGCTTCCAGCAAAGGCTCTTGTCACTTACCACAGCATTAGTTTCAGGGAATAGAGATTATATTGCTAAAGGGGTAGTGTCAAATGGTCATAACTAGAATCCAGACTTCTGGGCCTGCTGTGTAGCCTTGGGAAGATTCCTATGGCCCAATCATGCAGTTTTCACATGGGCAAAACTCCCCACTGACGACCGTGAAGAGTTTTGTTTATGTAAGGATTTGCAGACTCAATTTGCTTATCTGTGAAGTGGGTATAATACTACTTACACCTATGACTCCACACCCTTTATGAGGTAACCACAAACAAACTGGGGAGAAGTATCAGAGGGGTAGCCGTGTTAGTCTGAATCTGTAAAAAGCAACAGAGGGTCCTGTGGCACCTTTAAGACTAAACTGGGGAGAGCAGCTATGAGAAGGAAAGAGACCTGGAGCTGACTGACAGGGACCTCAACAGGACAGTGAAAAGCTGGGCTGGTGGCAGAACACAGTCTTGTCTGCACTGTGAAGTTAAATGTCTATAGTGTGCTCTGTTGTGAATAGTGGTGTTAATGTGCAACATTTCATCATTAGTGATATTTTTAGAAAGATTTTTAAAACAGTCAGGGAAAATATTAGAGTCCAGTGGAAAATTATTTTTATTTCTTCCCCAAGGCCAAATTCTGAGCTGAAACTGATTGGTCACCATGTAGCATCACAGGCTGAGGATGTTCACCAGACTCCACATTGACACTGGAAAATCAAATGAAACAGTCAGAGGGAGTGGTTGAAGGAGCAGAAGTCCAAGAGCTTCTTAAACAGAGAGAGTGAGTGAGTGCGGGGGGGAAAAAACAGTTAAAAAACCATCTAGTAAACACAAGTTTAGACCTACATCAAAGAATCAGTTGAAATTTATTTGTAAAGAGGATAGCATTACAGAAGACAGTCCTGCAGTGGCTGACAAATAGGGTTAAACCCGTGAACGGGTTTTTTCCATCTTAGATTCTAGGTGGAAATTCACCAAAAGAAGATCTCAAGAGTTGAGCACCTGTTTGTCAGTGTTTTTGTTCATTTTAAATAAGAATTATCTGAATCTTCCTCTCCTGCTATTTCTTTATTCCTTTCTCCTATTTAAACTCCAGATCTGTAGGACTGCTGTGGTATGTGTGTGACTAGCAAAGCAACTAGGGGCTAAATTCTTGCCCTCATTTCCACCATTGAAACTGCATTGAACTCACTGGGATTACATGGATGTATCTGGGGACAAAAATTCATCCCCGGTGTGATTGATCTGATTTCAATAGTTACACCAGGGGTGAATTTTCCCCTAGATTTTTTAAGGGTGAAAAACTTGCAAAAATATAATGTAGCATTAAATTTACATCCCCTCCCCAGATGCTTCTTTAATATCAGGGCATATGTTGGATGTTCTGCTGCCAGTTTATCTTTTATTATAGTTATTGCCTGACCAGATGGGGGTGGAAGAGCTATATCCAAAAACAAATTCCTATAAATATTTGGTGACAGAAGGGTTAATACACTAGTTTCCAAGTCCATCACAGCGTCCCCTTCCCCCCCTCCAAAAGACTATTATGTGCCACATTTTGGAGGGTGGAGCAGGGCAGGCCTTGCTGTATCCCGTTCTCTTTGTGGTTTCTATTTCTCAGGGTGGATTGACACATATCAAACCAAGACGAGGATCCTGGGCCCAGCCCTGCCTAAATGATGACCAAACCTTGCCACTTCTGTTGCACATTTAAAAAAAACAACAACAGACCCTGATGCATTCTGGTACAATAGTGCTGCAAAAATCTTGACCTGGTTCCTGCCAGTTTGGGCCCAGATTCCACTGACTAAATGGAGAATGTATTTAGCTGCTGCTACTGCACGTTAATAATCTGGCCTTGAATGTGCCCCAGTACAATAGCACACTCAATTAATCAATCAAACAATCAATCAAATAAACATGTAACAAATCTGGCTCCCAACACACTATGGTCCCTGACAGCTGCAAAAATATATATTTAAAAAAAAATATGTAAACCTGTATCCTGCTGGATGCAACACATATTTGGTGACATTCCCCAGTCTCCCAGAACACACATACTTGTACTGCCTAAATGTATTATCTATTCAACTCCACCTAATCCACCAGCATAATCTGGATCCAGGAGTGCGGGAACAATTTGTATAGTGGGGGTGCTGAGAGCCATCGAACCAAACTGTAAACCCTGTATATAATGGAAACCACTTCAAGCCAGGGGGTGCTGCAGTTCCAGTACCTATGTCTGGATCCCAACATTTTCTGGTACATGTTTCTGCAGTACTCTTGAATTTGGCCATTTGAATCTGGCTGGGTCCACCTGTGTTTTGTCACTGAACACTCAAATCAGACTATTACCATACAACCATATGGGAGACTTTGGTTACAAGAATTCATCCATCTTGAGCAACCTGGTAGATATATATATCTATATACAGATATAGATGATGATATAGTCAGTAGCCTTTTTTACCTCTCCTCCTATAGTGGATGCACTTAGAAAGTTCAATTCAGTTTTAGATATAATACCAGTTGTAGAGGTATTTGCCATTTGAAGTCCAAGGGTTTAGGGAATCTCTCTGAAACTGAACGCTGATACAGACTAACACGGCTAGCACTCTGAAACCTGTCACCATCTCTGAAACTGGTAATACCTCTAAAACCAAAATGAACTCTTAAATGCACACACATGAAATGCAACCTCTCCCTATTGCATGGTTGATCATATAGCTATTTCTTAGCAAATAGAAAGTGTAACACAGCAAGTCCCAGGGTTAGAAGAAGTTTTATTTTGATAAACCCATTTTAAAGCTACAGTGATGGGGATTTTAATATGACAAGAAAAGCCATACATCTTTCATCGAGTTCCTACTCCATCAGAGCGCACACAGCCTGCCAGCCCTTGCAATATTTTTAGTTTGAGCTTTTGTGTTTTGATTTTGCTGCTGTTCCATCTGCTAAAGAAATAATGACCTGATTATTATCCTTGACCAAAGGGGGTGAAAAAATATAGCTACAGACTTAACAATTTGTACAGTTAGTAATTTATGGAACATTTTAGATCAGAGAATTGTTTCTAACACATTATTAAAATTATGTAGAATAAGTATAGCTAATATTGTTGCTGTGTCAGTGTCATTTGTACAGTGTTCAGTATAGCTGCAAAATGCCCAAACCAAACATGGTAATATACACCTGCCAAATTAGAGTGTTTTGCAGTTTCTTCTACCAGCCAGGATCCAGATTTTGGTGGTAGTAAAAGCAACACCTACGTCCTCTTTCAAAAGTACAATTACTGATTCTGGAGCCAAAATCCAGCAGGAACCAGATTCTAGATCTGAATTTTTGTGGGGCTGTGGGTCCAGGTGCCGGATTTCACGTGGGGGCCCCAGAGTCTGGATTTTTAAGGCAAAGTCTGGATTTTTTGTGTGTGGTGCTTCTGCGACAGGCTCTATCAGTTTGGTTTGGTTGTTTGGTACAAGAGGAGCAGCTAGACTTGTTATGCATTCAACCAGTAGGATTTTGTGAGGGCTGGGGCCAAACTCTGGCAGGCTTCAACTTTTCCGTTTTCTCTCTACACTAAAGTGCAATAATTACAAGATCGCCAGAGGGAGGGAGGGGGGGAAGCAATGCACCTATTTATCATCTCAGTCACTGCAGGAAATAAAAATCTCCCTTGGTTCGCCCCGGTGCTTGCTAACCAGCCAGCCAGCGCCCCCCCAGCCCCTGCGATGCCCTAGACGGGTCCTGGCGGAGGGAGTGCTGGTGGTGCTCCGCCCACCTGTGCTGTGATTGTCCGGGTACCCAGGGGGATGGGCTCAGTAGCTCCACCCAGCCCCTGCCTTCTGCACGTGGATTGGTGAGTCTGGCTGTCTAGTTAGAGGCTGGGCTCTTTGAGTTTTTATTTATTTATTTGTGTATGGTGCCGCCTCCTCCTCTTAGATTCCTTCGCGAAACCCGCTGGCTTAAAAAAAAAAAAACTACAATGGACTTGGCGGGTCGGGACCAGAGGAGGAGGAGCTGGGAGCCGGGGACCAGCATCCTGAGTGTAGATCAACTTCTGCGGCATCCGTTAAGTCTCCAGCTCCCCCTCGGCCGCCGCTGCTCCTTCCAGCCTCCCCGAAAGCATTAGAGACTCGATAGCAGCGAGGAGAGGAGAGTTAAACAAGTGAATGAGAAAAGAGAGAGAACTAAACCCCTGCCTGCCTCCCTCGGTGCCCGCCTGGCTTCTGGGCAGATCAGCATCCCCACCTCCAGGGAAACTTTAGCGCCGCGCCGCGAAGGAACGTGCTTTCCCAATGGGGAGGTGGGGGCCGGGTTTATGCAATAAAGCCGCTCTCCTGAGCATGGTGGGGGAGGCTCCTGCTAAGAGTGGAAGGGGAAGTGTGTGTGGGTCCCCCCACCCCCAATAGCGCCCTGTGCTAGCGTGTGAGGTCGTTTGCCTGGAGATTCCCGTGCTGCTGTTTTTATTTGGATGTGTGCGGAGGGAGAGGAGCGGGGGAGCTGTTTACTTTTTAGACGATCGGAGCTCAGGACTGAAGATCTAGCTCCATCGGGAGAGTTTTGTCTTAATGTATCGCAGCCGGCTGTTGGTGGGTGGATTTGGTTTACTAGCCCCGGCCGTTCTGGGGGAAGGGAGGGTTAAAAAACGAAACTGAAGAAACAGTTCATCTCCGCGAAGGGAATGCCTTCTGCGCTCTCCAGGTGACCTTTTCTGAACATGCCACCTCTCCAGCTGATTGGGTTTTATTTTGATTCCAAAGTGTGTGAAATAGAACCCTAAGTTCCCTGCAGACCCAAGCATGAGGATGTGCAATATGTGGCAGCTCCTGTCACCCTTCCTCCTCAGCCTGGCAGCAGTTTTTTCCAAAGGTAAGGAGCAATTTCTTTCTTCTTTTCTTTACGTCCAGCAGCCTCTCGGGGTGCCTTGGCTATTGTCCTCTTCTGTAGGATTTATGGCTGACACATCTTGGGGGGGAGAGGATCTTTGTGTTAGGCAAACACAAGAAAACATTCTGAAAAGAAATCGAGTGTTAATTGTCAAAGCCAACCTAAAAAAATTCCCATCCTTTCAGATCTACATTGGTGACCTGTCTGCTATATCTGTGTTCATGTATACAATGCTGGTGGACAACCTCTGATGTGGACTACAAAGGTTTTTAGTTATCTGGGTTTTTTAAATTCTTCATGAGTACCCGAGTTTGAGTTTAAGTTCCCTAGCTTGATGGCCCATGTAATAATTCAGATACAAGCCCCTGTATCAGTCTGATAATCTTTTACTAGAACACATGATATTAACTAACATGCCACCCTTTCAATAGAAATATAGGTTGGTTGCAATTCCCAGGAGATGTTAATTATTCTGAGTTCTCCTATTAGTGATTTTAGAATTTCATTATGTTGACTTGAGTTGGAATTTTTTGATATCCTTCCTGAGCCAGTGACCTCCCTCTGTGTTGCCCTGGAATAAAGTTACAAAAAGGTTTACAAGGCCAAATCACATACCGCCCCACCCACTCACAACTTTCTTGCAATCAAAATTTCTCCTTTTACTCTTAAGCTTCTGATGCTTGGTCTCAGTCCATAGATCAATTTATTTTTTCAATGCATGAAGAAAATCTTTTAATTCATTCTTGAGTTATCAAAATGGGGGGGGGGGGAGGATAAATACGTTTTCTGCTAGGAAGATATTAAGGACTTGTTTGTGCCTGAATAGCTAAAAACTGGCTCGAATGTTACTGCTTTAGAATTTACAGGCCACCAGTCCTCAGTGAGGAATAGTGGTCATATGATTTTATACCTGTAATTTCTTTGTAAAAATATTTTAAATGAGTTTTGTCTATGTGCAGTGAAGTATTTTTTAAAAAGGTTTTTGTTACATAATTGCCAGTGTCACTTCAAAGTTGCAGCACGATTATAGTGCAGTTGTATAGTGCCAGACTTAATATTATTTGTGTATCTAAAGATTGGATGAATTTAAAACCTATTGGCTGGAGAAAAAATTTGTGCACAGACCACAGTTCTGTATTTCCACAGTTGCACAGGTAAGGATTTTCCTTTTCCCTCTTCTATCTTTAAAACAAATTTAAGAACTCCCAAAACAACCCAAAATACTTTAAATGCAAACCACTAAATGAGTGCAACTTTAAAGTTGCAAATGAAAACTCACTAAAGTCAGGGAATAGAAAGATTATGATTCTTGCTTAAGATTACTTCATTCACCTTTACAAATCTATAGCTTTTGATCTCTAGTTAGGCTGCCAAATGTGTGTTTTACTACAAGCAATGTCGGTATTTTTAGTCAATAAACACTGCAGTGAGAATATAAACTTTTTCATTTCCTGTATTTTGGGGTGTATTTCTATTTGCAACCTTAACACTGGATTAACAGAGGTTTGCATTTGATTGAAACTCATTGCAACCTTGAAATAAAAGTGGTATTTGAGATCTACAGAATTTATTTGCTTGAAATTGATGGTTTGCTGGTTGGATCAGAAATTATAATATACATCTGAGATTTTATTTTTAACTATTAAACCACCCAGCACTATTTTGAAAGATAAATCTGGGCAGAAAATTGAATTTGGTAAGGCTATTTTGTTAAATAAATCTACTAATGCAAAAACTACAACCTGAGGTTTCTGATACAAACTGTGAAGTCTCATTAAGTCTAGTACCTTTTGAATTAAGTACACCTGATCCTACTAGTACTTCTAGAATCACTGGTATTGCTTATTTTGCATTTTAGAGTTGATAACATGCTGTTGTATGGTTGCTGGGTCTGTGTATTGTGTTGTGATTTAGAAAAAATATTCCAGGTACATAGCTATTTTCATATCTGGTAACAGACTCAGATCTTATTATGGTGTCTTAGAACAATCAGAGACCAGAGGTTTCTAGAGACTTACAATATGAATTAGAAGACACTGTGCAAAAGGTTGATCTCCCTAACAGAAGGAAAACTGAAAAAATAATCAGTCTTGATTATTGCTACAGGGCATAATTCTTTGTTTGATGCTTTGTTGTTGCTAATAGAAATGCTTCTTTCATTTATGACATTATGGCAAAGTTTTAGTAAGTGTGAGAGAGATTTTTTTTTAACATGCAAAAGCAATCAGTTGCCTATTGTGTATATAGGTCTGTTGCTGATTACTTTGAAGCATGGCAACAAGGCTTCCTTACTACACGTTTCCAAGACTTGAAAAGCATCATTTATGGGTTTTGCTTTGCTTTTATCCTGTGAAGGGGGAAATTAGTTCAAGCTCAAGAGGTGAAATGTTGTCATGTTTTCTGTAATGAGTTCAGCATTCTCAGCAGAACTACTTGCGAATGCTGATGTGATGTGTGTACCTAAATATGTACGGTGTGTGGCTATACAATTCCAGTTATGGTCCCAAATCCTGCTCCCAGTCAGTTAGTTTTGCCGTTGATATCAATGGGAACAGAATCCGTCTCCAACTATAGAAAACTTCTTCAGAGATTTTCAGTAGTGAAGTTCTGAATCTGTTGTAACCAAAAATAAACAGGCTGAACCACAGGGACATTTGTCCATGGTTTTTAATGCTAAACAGATGCTTGGTTAAAGGACAAAACTCTCATTGGCTTCAATGGGGTTAGGATGGGGCCTTTGATAACTCCTCTTTAGGGCCCAGTCCTGCAATGAACTGAACATTACCTGAGCGGTGCTGAGCACTCTTAAGATTTTTCCAATGGGAGTTGAGCACGGGTGTTGGAACAGTTTTCATAGTGGGGGTGTTGAGAGCCATTGAACCAAACTGTAAACCCTGAATATAATGGAAACCACTTCAATCCAGGGGGTGCGGTAGCATCCCCTGCACTGCTAGTTCCAGCAGCTATGGAGCTGAGAGGCGTTACGCATGCACATTTGGCCAATAAAACCCTCTGTCAAATGTTGGAGATCCTTCATTTTAAACCAGTGGTCCTCAACCTTTCCAGACTGCTGTACCGCTTTCAGGAGTCTGATTTGTCTTGCATATGCCAGTTTCACTCACTTAAAAACTACTTGCCTACAAAATCAGACATAAAAATATGCCACAGCACACTATTACTAAACAATTGCTTACTTTCTCATTTTGTCTGTATGACATTTTAGTTTGTACTGACTTTGCTAGTGGTTTTTATGTAGCCTGTTGTAAAAACCAGGCAAATATCTAGATGAGTTGATGTACCCCTGGAAGATCTCTGCGTACCCCTGGTTGAGAACCACTGCTTTAAACAACAGCCCCAAATTGAGATGAGCAAAAGGATGCCAGCAAGAGAATGTCAAAGTGGTCTTTTGCCCTCCTGCATTGTCCTAAGCATCCCTTGTCCTTCTCCTCCATCATCTGAGGGGCAGCCATATTCCTGTGAGATCATTTTCCAAGGCAATTTCTTCTTTGGCCATAAAGCTTCTGTTTTGATTTTCTGTTTCCCCCAGGTGCTGAAGACCATTTGTTATAAAATGTAGGGGCATGGCAGACTAGTTAGATAGGATTACTTTCCTAAGGGTGTTCCCCACAGGTTTGAGAGATGGAATTCCACTTGCCCTGATACCAATCTCCTAATTTAGGAAAGGAAAAAGAATCTCCCAAGGAGCAAAAACAATACTATTTGATTGGACTGTTTTAGATATAAACATCTGATAGAAGCAGATGGCTATTTGGATACAACAAATGTTCTCCTGTTTTGTTTTATATTATTAATGCTGTATTTTATTGTTCTTTGAACCCTCCCAATAGTGTCAGTTGCATCACATAATCCCCCCCCTTCCTTTTTTTTTTTGTACATATAGGGCAAAACTTTAGCCTTGGTTACATCTGCTCAACTCCGTTGACTTCCATGGGATTACACAGATATCAGAATATGGTCAACAGCTCATAAGAAATACCCAGTTACTGCAATTAGTCTGCATGAGAGGTGGGTCATAGTTGTACAGGAAGTTAACTACCTTGGTACTCACTCCTGCATCTTGTTTTCAGTGGGAATAATGAGTGCACAAAGAATACAGGCTTGAGCTCTTTTGCTTATGTTTCTTTTACATTCCCATTTTCCACTAAGTTGTGAGCCATTTCTGAAAGAGCTCCATGGGCATATTTCCGAGTGATGTCAATGGGAGTTCTGAGAATGGGGAGTTTATTGTGAATAAGAATATTGAAAATGGAAATATAAAGTGCATGCACACGTTTCAATACAACTTCTTTTGGAGCATTACTCTGAAACATTACAGGATTTATTTTATTGGTAAAGGTAAATTGGCAAATTCTGTATTTGCTGGTTGTGGTTGTAATGAAAGAATCCTGAGTTTGATTTAAAAATAATGTTTCTCTTTTTCTTTTAACTCTTTCTGGTATCTTCAGACAAGAGAGCAGGGTTGAATTTCACAATTAGTAGGTCTAGTCAACATTTCACAGTCTGTGTTTTGTTTTGTTTTGGTAACACAAGCTTGTTGTTTTTGATAAGGAAACAAATATTCTTTCTGTTAATGTCACAATAGTAATAACAACACTTTTGGGAGCCGGTTGTCAAAAACGTATCTGTTGATGTAGCTGCATAACTTTAAATTGGTATTTATGGCTAATTTACCATATGTTGAAAACTGTCTTCCCTCCCCATCGTGTGTGTGTGTGTGTGTGTGTGTGAGAGAGAGAGAGAGAGAGAGAGAG